AAGAAACTGGCTATTTGAGCATGATTGAAGGATACCAGATCAACGATAAACCTGAAGCCCACGTTGAACTTCTTTGACCAAATTCCATTGTTTTGATTTTGCCACTTCGATTTATATGCATAAAGAAACAGATTAGCAAAGAGAGAAGCGCACATGGTGCCCATTGGATGCCAACGTCTTGCCGAAATCTGTTACCTCACATTCTAGATAGGTGTTATCAATGCGGAACACCAGCATTTCTCATATTATTTTGCTCAGTCAACTACCGCTTTCATTTTCATTCCGAAACATTTGCTTTCATGTTTGACAAATTGTGCATAAGTTTCAAGATAGAGATGTAACTCTTTCTATGATCACCATGTTAAATGGCCAGAGGATCAACTCATGAAATCGTTCTTCATGTTTGTCCTATGGGATATTGGTGTACATAGTTACAAAACGTCAAGCAAATCCTAAGTCTTTAAGAAACCGCATGGTGTTCGTTCCACTTGACGAAATACCTAACCTTCTCTGAATATAAAGATATAAAGAAAAAAGAAAACGTTAGCGCCCGACAGTAACAAGTCTTGAATGGGCGTGACGGGGAAAATGGCGGTGTAAATTAGATGAATCGATCAGTGGGGACACCAGGTGTTCGCGAAATGTCCTGCCCTATCATCAGCGCCCGCTACTCACACAATGTGCATAAAAAGAGCAAGTGCTTGTTACCTGACGCCTGCCTTGATTGTATAAGTGATAATGGTTAGTCTTCGAGACAGGGATTTAGTGTTACATGTACTTGACCCCAAACTGTTTCTATCTCTTTGTACGGATTGCTTTTGAGGTTTGGAATCCAGAATATACGAGGGATGGATGGGCAAGTCTTAAGATTTTAAGATTAAGAGTCAAGGCATGGTTTTGTCAGATTTTGACCTCAGTAAACATACTGGCCTTATATGTCATCTTTCTCACTTGTACTAGGCTCTTTCATCAAACAATTAATGTAGTGGTGCTTACATATCTAATTTGAGGCCTTGTCAGTAGGAACAACAAACGTTTCATGGATGACAGTTGGCCACGCCATCACAAGGGTATATATTGTTGAATTGTCATAACGTGATAGGGAAAACGCTCCCGGATATGTTTGACATGTTGGCATTTATTAGACCTATTAGACCAATTTTTGTCCTTAATAATTCTATATTCTGACCCGAGACGCTGCTATTATGTAACGGACTTGTACCTTCTTTTCACAAATAAGATATTTTGAAAGTTAATAATGTACATAGCTTTAAAGTGCACGCACTATCGACAACCCGATGCTTTTTTTATAATAACACAATAATTCGTCGTTGTTATGCCCAACAATGTTTGACAAATTTGTTTTAAATATAACTTTGTATTCATGACTCAATTGTATATATATCAGCTTGTTATATGGCTCGTATATGGCTGAAATAATGCTGATGCGACGTTAAATTTTAACTCACTCACTCACAATGATGCTCCGTTCTTACTGATTTGTTTCTTTATGCATACGAATAAGAGCTTCTGACAAGCTAACTCAAAACGATCAAATAGCCAATTTCCTTTCATTGATTAACCCACCTTAACTAGAAATAATGAGACAAGTGACACTGCCTCATATCTTTCAGATTTAGATCCATGCATTCAAAATCACTCTGTCCAAAAAATCTCAACAAGGATGTATATCATGATGAATATCTTCAACTTTCCCTTTTTGTCGAGCAATATTCCAGAAGATCTAGCCTTTGATGTCTACATTTCACAACTTTTGAGGTACATCGAGCAAGTTCTCAAAGAGTTATTTGATCAAGGTTACAACATTCAAGGCTTCATTAAAACTTTTGAAATGTTTTTGGTACACAGGTGGAGGACTTTTCAAATTCTGACACATCATAGACAAACATTATGTCTGATGAAACTCCTTATGTTGACCATATGTACCCGTCGTTTAGATGAACAATTGACTAGCCTTTGCATGTGTTTGAGACGTGTACCACCAGTAAGGAATGATACGATCACTTTTTCGCGAACACCTCGTATCATCACTATTTGATTGTGATATAGTCGGAATCCTACAATCGACTGTGCTTTGGGCGGAGATTTCCTGTGGCTGTGGTGTTGTCGCTTCAATTATAATGATTGTGGAAAGGGTTTTGTCACTTATATTTACATATGTTCTTACGTAAATATTGTAATGTAATGCATTTCTATCAGTGAGTGAGTGAGTTGGGTTTAACGCCGCTTTTAACAGTATTACAGTTACATCGCGGCGTGTCAGCTTAATGTGGGAGGACAAACCTGGAAACATAATCGGGATTCGAACCCACAGTCATAGGTTTCTGGCGTGCCCAAGGGACCCAACTCTGCACAGCGAATCGCGGCGCTTTAGACGACTGTGCCACCCGTGCCCCCGCATTTCTATCACGTTGGGGCAATGTCAGTATCTGGGTAACTTATTCACCTATAACAGTAGAATAATTATTTCCGCATACATATCAACTTGTTATCTCCCTTGACAGTTTTAACCCATACTGTCCCGATAAATGTGCTCATATTGTATGCAATAAATGAAGTTTAAATAACGTTCATTTGTTGGCTTACATTCCATTTATTACTGGTTTGTCACGTGACTCAAATGTAATTGGGCACATGAATGATTGTTATTCAGGTTTACAGCGTTTCGAGATCACCTGGTATTAATTATTCCTATTTCCTATTTGATAGTGATTCATAAACACCTGCTCATGATATAGCTGGTTATATGCAACCGACAGATTTCTTGTGGATATGGAAAGGGTTTTGCGCCTACACTTGTTTTGTGTGTTATTTAACGCCACACACAGCAATATTCCAGCTATATGACGGCGGTCTGTCAATAATCGAGTCTGGACCAGACAATCCAGTGATCGCCACCATGAGCATCGATCCAAGCAATTTGGGATACGATTACATGCATCAACCAAGCCTGACCACCCGATCCCGTTAGTCACCTCTTCTGACAAGCATAGTCACCTCTTACGGCAAGCATGTTTTGCTGAAGACCTATTCTAACCCGGATCTTCATGGTTTGATTGTTGTTCAAAAATTATTCTAATGGTATTACCAGACAGCACAGATTTCTTATGAATATGGAAAGGGTTTTGTCGCTTATATTTATGTGTGAGAGATACAGATATGGGTACAGAGGAGTACTCGTATAAATGGCGAAATCTGCAAGAGATTATTTGAACACACGTGAAAAAACAATGACACAGTATCGTTGGAAGTAGGAATAGATAACAACATTTCGACGTGTTTAAACTACCACCGGATATCGTCCTTTGTCGCATTGTAATTGGAATTGGAATATATAAATATTATGTATCGTGATCAGATATATCGTCAATGTCAGCATTTCTCTTGCTATTTCAACCGCCTCCGTGGTTAGGTGGTCAGAGTGTCTGCCCGGAGAACTAAAGCTCGATTCATTCCAGAAGAATTTAAACAATGGTGCTTATTGTTGTGCCAGGCATTAAGGATAAAACAAAGACTGAGCGACTCGGAGTAATTGTCATCTGTCTGAACGGGGGATCCATGTTAAGATGGGGAATGTATATCAGTGGGCTAGCTCTATACATCTGGACTATAAGTCTGGACTAGTACAAGTAAACACACACACACGTGCGTAATAAAATTCCTGAGGCGACATTAAACCCCATTTCACCTCAACTCCCTTCTTAATACTCATTATTTTATATTATAATGTAAACTGAAAACACACACATTTAGAACAAAAAAACCATGAGAAGTTTAAGTTTTTAGCATCACACAGAGACTTCACATGGAGACACCTCAATGCATAAGTGTGGTTCATAAAAGGAATTACAAAACAGTTAAAGAAAATCTTTTGTTGACACAAACCACGGTGTATACGATACGTTATGAATAAAATATGAATGGTAATAATTATGATATCTCGCATTCTGTTCTTCGCATCTGTTTGCCTTTCAATCTTTTCTAAAGAGACTTCTCCCGTGCTAGCAAACTTTCTAAATAGACCGCCTCCGTGGTCTAGTGGAACAACGTCTGCCCGGAGAGCGGAAGGTCGGGGGTTCGATCCCATATATAAAAATTATATGAATGTATCAGTGAAGAAAATCTGTGATGAAACCATGTGTTCGCATATGAAGTAGATCCAAAGTCCTGCTTTACTATTGATTTGTTTGTCTGTTGTTTAACGTTGCTCTCCCTATTATGCTAAAGTTTTTATTTTTTCATTTTACGTTGACTAATAAGTGGAAATGTTTCCCGGGCATCGGCGCGTCCCTTTTAATCCTTATTGCAAATAAAAATATGTGGAGGGTATTCCCACATAAGACGCATCAGGGACAAAAAATATTTCCGTTGCAATTTCATAGTTTCCCGCGTTTTTTCAAGTGAACAATTGACTTGTCGTTACATGTGTTTGTGATGGGAGCACCGTTTCGGTACGATACTCTCACCTTTTCGCGAACACCTTGTTTCATTACAATGTGATAGTGAGGCATGCTTATGATATTGCCGGAATTGTACAATGGACTTATTTTTTAAATTTCATTTGATTATGGAAATTTCTTATTTCGCTTTTATATAATACGTCATTTTAAATATACTCCGCCTATGCTTGACAACTGACATTGTGTTAAAGAACCGCGTGAAATGTGGCGCCAGTTGTGTTTGTTGGGAAATAAAATATCACCATTGAGAAAAATCAGCCCGAGAAACGATTTTTTTTATGCAGCCTTAAACATATTTAAATGATATATGGCAGATAAACTAGTAATAAATGTCAATCTTGTTGTTTTAAAGGCATTTATAAGTTGGATTTAAAAGTCATTATAAAACAGTAAGGCTGATCACCAATATTACTGAACATGGAGTGTACAGGTAAGTAGCATAAACGATGCTCTTACAATAAACAAAAGACAGTATACTAAATATTATGTCACCATCGAGTCATTCACTGAAATAATATTAGTTGCAAATTCACCATTAGCTCGTTCAAAGGAAAATAATTGATGCTAAGGTAATATGGTAATGCTGCAGGTAAACAGACCCGGGCAGACAGCCACGTGACAAGGGCTATAGACGTTATTCGCAGTGTAGCTAGATTAATTTCATTCACCAGTAAGATCCCTTCACTATGGGAGACTACAGCATTTACACCGGTGTTAAGAAGACTTTCAGTATTGTTGACTATGGTTGTTTTGGGGCAACTCTGGCAGTATCTATAGCCATTGGTATATATTATGCCATCAAGGATAACCAGAGCACAAGCACTAAAAACTATTTACTCGGGGGGCGTCAAATGAGTATCGTCCCCGTGTCGTTGTCGATCCTTGTGACGTCGTTCTCAGCAACTACGTTGCTAGGGATGCCCGCTGAAGTATACAGCTACAACACAATGATTTGGTGGATGTGTCTATCAGCATCCATTGGCCTTGTGATCGCCGCCACCGTCTTCGTCCCGTTTTTCTATAATCTAAACGTCACCAGCATCTATGAGGTAAGCGACTGTCCTGTATAAAGTTACCATGTAAAGTATGTTTGTCATGAAGTATTTGTTTGTTTGTTGTTCAACGCCTCACTCAGCAATACTCAAGCTATGTGGCGGCGGTCATTAAATAATCAAGCCTGGATCAGACAATCCAGTGATCGACATCATGAGTATCTATCCACGCAATTGGGATACAATGACATGTATAAACCAAGTCAGCGAGCCAAACCACCCGATCAACTTTGTCGCCTCTTACGACAAACATAGTCGTCTTTCACGAGAAGCATTGGTTGCTGAAGACATATTCTAACCAGGATCTTCACGCGTCAGGTCATGAAGTGAATATGTATTGTATAGAACCCCTGTCATATATTAGGCCTGCTTATAGTCAAAACACTTTAAAACGAACTCGAACAAATAAATAACAATTTCTTATCGACCGATGTATCAAACATGTGTGTTATTCTAAACAATGTATTGTCAAGTCCATCCACGATTGGCTGGTCAAGACCTTGTTGTTTGCAGGCCGCTGCACTTATTATATTATGCAAATTGTGGCGGGTGTTACCGGTACACCAGAACATGCTTTTCGTAAACACCTGGTGTCACCACTGATTTTCAATGACTCATTCATTTCATTTTCACCACTGTGTTGCCTTTTACAGCCAATGGAATCTGTTTCGGCAGAAAATCGAGACTAATTATTCTCAGACTTTGGCGTTTTATATTGACCATTGACGTTCATTTTGTACCACGGCCTTTATCTTTGAAAGTATGAGATAAAAGCATCAGCAAATCGTATCATAGACGCAAATATTGAATTGAAACGTTCGAAAAAGGGTATTTACCCCACACTTATGCTTTGGACAAATGCTGTGAGAGTATTGTGAAACTGATGAGAAACAATTGCATTGTGTAAATTAAAATCAACATAATATCTATGATATGTTTTGTTTTGAGTATCTGGGCATGCGATTCGGCCGATGCCTTCGAGTCTTGGCGTCTATTCTGTTCCTCATCAAAGCGGTAAGAGATTGTTTATTTACAATGCCGAGAATTGTTTAATTGGACCGGTTTTCTCTTTTACTTAAGAAATTATCATACGCAAACCATAGTATGAACTTGCTATTTATCCAATACAACACCCCCTCCCTATTTATATAATGTATACGTTGTAATGAACTCCATAAAGTATCCAAATAATCACAATAAATCTAATCAATAATTAGTTGTGATATCTTGATGATTTGTTATAAACTGCAACATTGTATATTCATTTCCCGTTTTTACTTCTAGTTGACCTACATGGCATTCGTCTTGTACGTTCCATCACTGGCCTTAAACGCAGGTAAAGACAAACATACTAGACTTATACACCTTTATCAAATTTCTCTGAATGGTGTTGGGGTATGTAGATAAATACGGTTAGTTTAAACCGTCTTCTAAGGTCGTTCTATTAAACTCAGCAGCTATTTATGCACCACTGAATTGATTTGTTTGCATGTTGTTTAACGCCGCACTGGAAAAGACCGTTCAGTGATTGATTATTCGCGACATCCCACGCCGGTGAGGTACCATAACACACGCTGAAGCAAGTCTCCGAGCGAGTCCACCCGATCTATTAAGTTGTTTTCTATTAAACTCAGCAGCTATTTATGCACCACTGAATTTATTTGTTTGCATGTTGTTTAACGCCGCACTTGAAAAGACCGTTCAGTGATTGATTATTCGCGACATCCCACGCCGGCGAGGTACCATAACACACGCTCAAGCAAGTCTCCGAGCGAGTCCACGAGAGCCATTAAAAGTTGTTTGTTACAAGCATAGATTGCCGGGGACCGATTTAAACTCGGAATCACTGGGGGATTACACGATTGATGTGACAATGATATGCCTGAATGTAAAGTACATTTAGTCATATAACTTCAATAAAAACGCTAATACCGTCAGAGGTGAGAATGACAATTATACGATCTACATAAAAGCTACATAACCATTTCCAAAAGATTACGACCATATTAGTTAAGTCATTTTGCATTTCCTCTTAAAATCTAGATTAAAATGAAGTTTCAGAATTATGGCCCTAATAAAAAATGTCTCAATAAAAACTTCACTTCAAAGGGAATTTCTCGACCCTGGGATATATGTAAAAGAAGACCCTGTTCATGTTTTAATTATTTGTATATGGGACTGTAGTCCACTATTATGACTTTACATAAGATCCTTATTATTCAGGTTACATCAGCCTGACGGTTTTCCCAATCCTGTCACGTGTTTCTTTTCTAGATTTAGACAAAGGGGAAAATGGAAGTTGTCTAATCTTATTCTAATTTTCAGTTTTCAACATACATGGTCTTGCATTTAAAAAAGGCGATGTTGTACAACATTTTATAAAGTATTGTATTTCAGGGAACAAACGTTTAAACATGACAACTGGTGAGGCAGTGTATTAAAAAAGTTTGAATTATGGGGATCTTTTGTACCAAAGGGTTAACAATTTCAAAAGTGACAATGTTCACGTGACATGTTTGTCGTCATCTAGATAGACGTTATTTGTTATGCCTTAATATCGTATACGTAATATATAAAGTCTTCGAATGGCATTAAGAAGTGATACACATAAGAGAGAGAAGTAATAGATGTCAACTTCTTTATAATGAGGAACAACGTTTTAAGCTTATATATATATATTTGAAGCTGCAGTGGATTGACTTCAAAGGGTTTATGACACTCGTGATTTGGGCTCACTTTGCATTTTAAAACGTTTATTCAACTTGTGATGCGGTGAGGTGAGGTGAAATTGGGTTTAACGTCGCGTCCAAGATTATTGCACTTACATAGCGACGTGCATGCACGTGTTTGTGTTTGTGTGGCTGCTTGTACTAGTCCGGACTGATGCCGATTTATAGTGCTAGTTCACTGAGATACCATGCCGCAGTTTAACATGAATACCCCACTCAGACACAGTATACTGACTCCGAGCCGACCAGTCCTTGTTTTAGCCCCTTAATGCCGAGCGTCAGACAGGGTAACAACAAGTACGATCTTTTAACGTCTTTTGGTATGACGCGGCCGGGGATCGAACCCCGGACCTTCCGCTCTCCGGGCGGACGCTCTACCACAAGACCACGGAGGCGGCACTTGTGATGCGGATTCAACAGTGATACACAGTGGTAATAGAACGAATGTTATGTTATAAGGATGTTATGTGCCGCAGTGTGTAATGTTATATCTATATCACGGCTGTAAATGAACAGAACAAAATCAACCATTTGCATTAAATAAGATGTGAAAACAACTAGCAAGACTAATCTTGATTAGCAACTCAGTTAAACATGGAAATAGTTAAAAAAATAACAATTACCACGGTTTGTAAGTAAATATGAAAGGTTGAGCACGACATGCTTCCCTTTTCGCGAACACATGGTGTCATCACTGATTTTCAGTGGTCCATTCATATGATTTTTTTCTGACGATTGCCTTTTGCACCCAAACACATGCAAGGGCATATCAATTGTTCACTTGATAAAACAATAAAGAAACAGGGGGGGGGGGGGGGGGGGGGGGGCGTGGGGCACGGCGAAGCCTGGTTCTTTCCTGAATGTCTTATCCCAAGTTTTATATAGATTATATCAATGAGGACTCGCGTTTCACATATTGTTTTCTTAGTAAACCTCCGATTACATTTTGCTGATGTTTGACTTGAAGAATCCACATTGTATGAACTCCTCTTGTCTCAAATACGCTTTGTGATTATAATTTTTTTAAATAGTATATAAAACCCCTATTTATTTTCACTGATCTCTCCAAAAGCTTATATGCATAAACGCGGCCTCGTTCTGTCGCTCTTGTGACGTCAGAGATACTGCAGGGTAAGTGATTTTGTCAGTACAGTCGATGTAGTCTGTAGCAAGTCTCGTTTTTTTTCAGGCAATAATGGGTTCAGCGATTTTTATCAGCGAATATTAACCATCCTCCCTAGACTCTTCATGTTTAATCGTGAATCAGTTAGCAGTCATGCTGAGTCAACTGCAAATGAAACGTTTGGGCCGAGACAATATCCCTCTCCCCCTCCCTACGAGAATCATGTTCCTTGAGTTTTTCTCTTACTTGCACACAGCAGAAGACGCAATTCAAAATTACCGCGTCGTTTTTAGTTTCAACATAAACGCGCTATTGTGTCACTGTATTTGATCAACACTCGATTATTTAAAGGCTGCCTTCACAAGGCAGGGGTACTGTTGTGCGGCGTTAGGAAACAAACAAACAAACACCTACTTTTGTCATCCCTGAATTTCAGTGATCCATTCATATAATTATCTCCACTATTTTGCCTTTTTCGCCCAATGGAATCTGTTTCGGCAGATAATCGAGAATGATTATTTTCTGGAGCTGACGACTATATTTGGGTTTGTTTATTTTTTCTTGCGATTCTGCATAGATACTATTCTGAATCGAACCAAACATCATTGTAGTTTGTTATTCTCATAAACATAACCAAAGTTCTTTGCAATCTATTTGCAGCAACAGATTTCAGTTTATGGGGATCCGTGATATCAGTGGGAATAGTCGTGACATTTTACACAGCAATTGTGAGTATTTTGCATTTTTCAAATCTAAACATGCAAACAAGACAAAACAACATGGTTAAATCAAAATAAACATAAACGCGCCAAATCACTTCCATGAACATCCGAATCAGTAAGATCGGAGATCAATTCAAGGTATATAAAACAGTAATATCATTCAGTTATTCATGCGATTTTTGGTTGATTTTGTCTCCAGGGCGGCATGAAAGCTGTACTGTGGACTGACACCTTCCAGGCACTTGTCATAATGGGAGGCTTGACTGCTGCTCTTGTTCAAGGGTTGAGAGTCGTTGGGGGTCTTGAAGCTGCATGGATGGTCGCCGAGGAGCGCTCACGCATCTATTTCACAGAGTAAGTTTACTAAAAAAATTAACTAGAAACGTTGTCATTACCAACTAGCATAACAAAAATGTTTCTGTGGCGACCCGGGTTAGGAGTGAGTGAGTGAGTGAGTTGGGTTTAACGCCGCTTTTAACAGTATTCCAGTTATATCAAGGCGTGTCAGCTTAATGTGGGAGGACAGCCCGAAGTGATGCAGGTTTCAGACGTTTACCACTTCGGTGAAACCCACGAGCACGGGTATTCCGGGTTAGGACAGGTCACCATTAACGCATGATTGTCGTAAGAAGCAACTCATTGGATTTGGTGGTCAGTCTCGACATGGCACGTCATTTATAAATATTAAACATCAACGCCAGGGAGTAATCAGTCTCCATTATTTTGTAGTAAGATAGGCGTAAAAAGCAAAATAGCGCTAAAAAGTATATGAACAGTGATGATACCAGGTGTTATAATATAAACCGTCAGTTTGTTTAGCAGAGACTCGATTACTTACAAATAAGATTGATTGGTTGGTTGGTTTGTTGTTTAACGCCGCACTCAGCAATATTCCAGCTATATGACGGCGGTCTGTAAATAATCGAGTCTGGACCAGACAATCCAGTGATTAATATCATGAGCATCGATCCACGCAATTGGGATAGATGACATGCATCAACCAAGTCAGCGAGCCTGACCACCCGATCCCGTTAGTCGCCTTTTACGACAAGCATAGTCGCCTTTTACGGCAAGCATGGGTTGCTGAAGACCTATTCTACCCCGGAATCTTCACGGGTCTACAAATAAGAAGCTCGGTTATTAGTCACTATGACATTGAACAACATTGAGTTATTCGTAATTAAATGACAAAAATTCATATAAATAGGCAAAAACAGCTAGGTTTGAAAGGCAATGTAATTTGCAGCAAATACAAACACATTTGGTAAACAATACACAACCTCCTTCTAATGCTCGTGTTTGTTTGTGTTGATGGAATACTAAGTTTTCAGCACAAAGAGCAAACAATACGATCAAAAAGGGCCAGTGATAATGGAGGGTCATCTGTAATGAGATGTAAGAATGTGTCGGTCCTTTTCTTGTCTTTTGAAAGGGCTATGCTAAACTATAACATATAGGATATGCGATGATATAGACTATACCAAAATGTATTTCCTTTAATAGATATTGTTTAATGGTTATCATGTTTGACTTTTTTTTGATAGTTTCCACCCCGATCCATCCACCCGACACTCTTTCTGGGGCTTGGTATTAGGTGGTAGCATCTTATGGCTGAACTTGTCAACGGGCCAGGCTCAGATCCAAAGAGCGTCATCATGCTCTAGTGTTACAAGAGCTAAACTGTGAGTTTAGATGGTCATTCTTGCATTGTAATTTTATTGCTAATGCACTATGACGCATATTGAAGTTAACAGAAAATGTTAATGTTTGCAGTACAATTATCAATGTATAAAAAGAATAGATGGTAATCTTTAGTTTTTCCATGATCGTTTCAAACACAATAGCAATGCAATTTAGTTATTATTTACTACATACTACAATACGCGTGCATGTAAAACATAATCAAATTCACACTTTTACATACACATAACTACTTGGAGTATCGATAGAAAATCGATAGAACAATCTAATGCTATTTAAACAAAATAATTTTATCAATACAATACTATATAATTTCAATTACATTGTAGCATATATTGGTAAGCAAAACAAATGAAGTTCAGATAGTAGAAATTCAATATTTTCGATGTTTCCCCTAGGGCAATGCTGATGAGTGCTCCTTTCTTGGCCGCCATCATGTCAGTATGCTGTCTTCTTGGTGTCACCATGTTTGCATTTTACAAGGACTGTCATCCATTGAAGTTCAACAGTCTCATTTCACGAAGTGATCAGGTATTAACGAGTATGCGACAGTTTAGTTGATAATATTGACAAATCATCGTTTAATTAGTATTTTTTCATGAAAGGCAAACAGATAACACAACATTTGGTTATCCAAACCATTCACGAGCTTGTAATTACATCTTAAATGTCATTAACAATTTCATACGAGTATATATTCAACATCGAATATAACGGGTGGGGTAGGGGGTGGTACTGCTGAAAAGAGTGATAACAAACTGAGTGTATATTTCCCTTGATCGATGAGATATCATGAGTTGGTTGTATGAATGCCTGTTTGAAACGTTCTGTGCTCATATTTCAATGGCTAACTATCGACAATCCTGCAGATTCTTCCTTTGTATATAATGGACATCCTTGGACATCTTCCTGGCCTTCCTGGAATCTTCATCTCGTGTTTATTTAGCGGCAGTCTGAGGTCAGTACAATGTGGTTTGTGAAGGGGGTCGTTTGCATCTGTAATTACATTGTGTGTTATTTTCACATATAATGGAGACGGAGTTCAGCTTCTTTTATTCTTTCAATGCGACTAAGTCGGCACTTGTTTTCTGAAACTACAAGCATCTGTAAAAGAAACATCACATTGAACGAATGATGGAGTGGAAGTAAACTCTAACTGCAATGTCACTTCAGAATCTAAGTAAACAGGAGAGAGTTGTTAATAAATGGTCATCATGTGTGAAATAATAATAGTGATAATCATCATCATCATCATCATCTTGATATAAGATAGGTTCGATTAATATTTCAGATGCTAACAAGGCACAATTACTACATGTACTCAAGATGACAATTCATTTTAAAATCATCATGTTACCACGGGGGCCAAGTATGATGACTTCAGTTTTCAATTCTCGATAAACATACAATTTGGTGTCTAATTAAACATTGTTAGCCTCGTGACCAATGAATTGATTTCTACTGCCAAGTCAGTACTAATTCCTATTATTCATTATTGTCTCATAGCACCCTGTCTTCTGCACTGACGGCCATTGGCGCTGTGGTACCTCGAGATCTCATTCAACCATTTTGTTGTAAAAACATTAGCGACAAAATGTTGACTGTGTTATCGAAAGTCATTGGTAAGCCTTAGATTTTTTTGCCGGCCGAACATTTAAAGCCATAGTCATAATCTGTTGGAAATGTGGTCGTTTTGATATTTTTCTGTAAGTGGTTGAGTTGGGGTTAATGCCTCTTTGAACAGCATTTCAGTTACATCACAGTGTGTCAGTGTAACGTGGGACGTCACGGTACAACCCATCGAAAATTGATATTATTTAAAAACTGCTTGAAAACAATTGTGAAATGTATTACTACAAAAAGGGATGACGAAACCAACTTGGTCACCTTTATTGTCATCATTTGACTCTTAGATCTTTGATAATAAATGATGTTTGATTCAGATTGTGTCTTTAGTTGATATGTAATATCCCCTTTCTCAATTTTGCAGTGGTGCTCTCTGGCATTGCAACAATTGCTTTTGCATTTTTGGTGTCACAATTAGGAGGAATATTACAGGTACTGTATCATGGTATTCTTTACATTGCTTTATATAGTTGTAACAGAGGGACAAATATGAAATGAACAAATGAAATTAAGTTCAACTGTATAATGTCTCACGTACTGGATTGTACATACTTCTCTATGACATTGCTCCTTCCATAATTCTTATAATTATATACAAAAAAAAAAATAACTTGTATCTTATATTCATGATTTTTTTTTTTTATAAATAAAAGGCTACATACACCGTTGCGAGTATCACCAGTGGACCCCTGTTTGGTCTCTTTATACTTGGGATGTTCTTTCCAAGGGCAAATAAATGGGTAAGTGGTTTTGTTACTATCAACTTTCAGACAGTAATTCATATTATACGTTCTGTAAATAAAATTCCTTTACAATACTTTTTTTTGTTCAGGGTGCATTGGTGGGATCTCTTACGTCGCTGGGAGTGATGTGTTGGATAGGCATGGGGGCTTTTTTGACACGAGCCTCATATGTACCTCCTTCGCCTTTCATCACCAGCGGATGCAACTGGAACGTCACCCAGTCAACAATATTTGACACTTCTCCAGCAACGATTGACTCAACTTCACAACTCCCAATGAACGCAACACGTGATGTCATGAACGATACAAGGTAGGTTACCCCTGAGTTAGTGAGTAATGGAATGTTGTTTAACATAACTCTGTGAAATCAAGGGCTGAGATAATCGCTGCCAATATATCAATAATCTTCAAGTTGGAAGTTGATTAACATTGACATATATTTCTCGATCCGAGTCGAGAAATTCAGGGTACTGACACCCTCACACGAAGAATCATGGCTGACAATAGATCCCACCACCCTCGCTCTTCCCTCAATCGCGTGGATTGATAAATGTGGAGGCTCTTCATGATAGAATTGTTTTGTGCACTTTGAAGGTTTCGAAAACGAGCCAAGGATGTAGGACATAATCTCAATGTCAGTGTTGATAATGTTGATGGTTCTGCACTGCTGGACGGTACATAAATGAGTGTCAACAAGGCAAAAAGCCATATCAAATCGGCCCAGACTCAGTTTTTCAAGGAGAGGCTTTCTGAGCGACCACTGCATCGAGGTCGGCTGGCCTGAAAAGTGAAACAGAAGGTTTTCTGTTTGCTGTTCAGGACCAATCACTTCCCAGTTAAAACCGTCTATGTGTGATTTTGCATCCAAATGTAAACATGAAATGTAGATTATGCAATGAATTTAATGAGACTGTCCAAAACATCGTCAGTGGGTGCCCAGCTTTGGCACAAACACAATATCTTAAGCGACATTTTATTACCGTCTTTGCCATGCTTGTGGTTTTGACACAGAGGTCCATCCATGGAACGACCCGGAATATGTTGAGGGCGTCATGGAAAATGATAAATACAACATTCTTTGGAATAGGCCCGTATACAGCCTCAGACGTATCCAGGCCTGATTTTGTCCTTTTTGAAATCCAATGAAATCATTTATATTATTGAATTTTCTGTCCCTTTTGACACTAATGTGATTGACAGGATTGAGGAAAAACAAATACGCAGACCTCTCTTTCGAAATGTCACGCTTGCATCCCAAGTACCAAGTTGTCCGACTCCCCATTGTTCTCGGTGCCTTAGGTTTGGTACCTCCAAATCTGTTGACTGACATTGGGAGAGTACCCGGATTTGCTAACAGGAATACAGCCCTTCTGACAATCTGGGTAATACAGAAGGCTGCAGTGTTGGGGAGTCTTCACATTCTCCGAAAAGTTCTGGGTGGGTTTGACTAGGCAGCGCTTCCTGGGAGAAGTCTCATTTACTGTCTGGGCTGCGTGTAGAGGGAACAAGGGCCCTGAGCTGATGATGAGCCTAACGAGCCTGACTGTGCCAGGATCACCCAAACCCTCTTTGCTGCATTTTTTATTTTATTCTGTATATAATAATAATAATAATAATAATAATAATAATAACAGGCTGATCCAGGTGCAGTACATATAAGGTCCATGAACTCAACTATAACCTATATATGTTATATGAGTTTACATGTATACATCTCAATAAAATTTCCCAATGTACGTGTTGTCGTTACATACATGTATAATAGAGTCAATCTCTTACCGCTAACGCGTCGCCCTGTCTCACATTCAGATATTTTCGATCCCGGTTAATAAATTGTCATAATATGATGCACTCAGAGACTATAATATATTCATTTTCAGCACTGAAAGTGCTGTGATATCAATCTTCAAAATGTCCTACATGTGGTATCTTCCCACAGCCCTCTTGATAGAAATTGTTGTTGGTCTCCTTGTCAGCGTTCTTACAGGTAAACACATTTTGTCATATCTGAATATGAAAATGTAAAGATATGAAGGTTGATAAATATATATAAAAAATACACATGCAACAATGATTTCCCGTACATAAGAGATAATTATATTGTTTGTAAGCGTGTTGTATAACTTTAACATTAGTGTGTGTGTAATCAACCAGGTCACCAAGCCTGACCACCTGATTGATTAAGTTGCATCTCGCGACCAGCTTATGTTGCTTACGTGTTTTTTACGTTTCACTAGTATCGACGTCAACAGTAACGACTTTATAGCCAAGCTTTGTCGACGCCATGTTGATACACCTTGTTCTATTTTTGACTTCTTCACTATAGCTAATTCACAAGTGTGTCTGTGTGTGTGTGTGTGTGTGTGTGTGTGTGTGTGTGTGTGTGATGATTAAACTTATGTATACTCTATTTGTATATAACGATATTTGATAATTATTGTTATTGCAATGCGAGACAATTTAATATGTAATTAAATAACATAACACCCCAGCAACGTGTTTTTCTTATTATAGGATGTACAAAGCCAGAAGATTTAAAACCAGAACTGATTTGTCCAATATTTGACCGGTTGTGTCCATTTCTACCAGAGTCATGGAGACAACGTTTACGTTTTCACAAGGTAAACATTTTTCACTGTACATCTATGCGGAACTATCTCAAGCAGCACCTGATATGTTTTACTGCAGTGTCTTTTTCTCATGTGGGAACCTTCGTGAGTTTTAACGCCATTTTCAACAGAATTACAGTTATATCACAGCGTATTGGCTTAATGTGGGAGGAAAGCCCGAAATGATGCAGGTCTCAGTCGTTTACCACTTTGGTATCAACACGGGTATGGCGCTCAAAAACATAGAAACGTTATCATCTTAACGTGGGAACGTATGACGTGTTTGTTTATTGATTACATTGTTCAATAATATCACTTAAAGTGTTTTGAAATTAATTATCGATTAATGTGAGAAAATTCATTTATACTAATCTATATGTTAGAGATTTATATATTATTGTATGCCTTGAATTAATCCTCACCATAACTAGCCACTAGAATCAACGAGGCGTTTCCATACAATTTTCAATTATAAAAGAAATGGTACCACACGAATGTGCATTGATGGTTTCATAAATTTCAATACAGTTTCAATATATTTGCTCTTCCAGAATACAGAGAGGTCCAAGAAATCCAAGGCTTCCACAGAAATGAACCGTCACCACATGGACGACTCTTTGACTTCCTTTCTTCATGACACGGTTGCCTTTCCGTCCAACGACCATATACCTCACACTTTGTGATTCAGATGACTCGGGGGAGCCCTGCGATCCACTGCTTTTACTTAAACTCCCACACTGTACAGAAACTTTGTCTTCCTGATAATTTTTCATGACCAGGAAGCCAAAATGTTGAAAGTATGCCTTGGATTTGCTCCTGCTGTTGACAACAGAATCAGTGATCTTAGACATCATTTTGAATCTATGCCAGTCATTGCTACTGTAAAGTGAAAACAAGCAGCGCTGATACTTTGGTAACGTAAAGCCCCGTTGAAATAGTGTGGTAATTAATGTGCAGACTGTGGTAATGAATGTGCAGAATGACAATAAAACAACGCCTGTATATTGCTTTAACACATGTGATAAATATGTACGTAGCGGGGAATATTGGAGTATTTAATTTAAAGAGAGCAGTCAGTCAATCAATCAGTACTATATTCAGTATGAAGGCCATAGGCCCATATCCCAATAACAGTTTACAAGTATGGTAGAGGCAACATATATAATTATAAACATTGTTTAATAAATACTTCTTCTTTCATACGCATGATCAATAAACAGGCATGGTGATTTTATTTGTTCTGTATCGTTTGTGTCAATTTTCCTTTTTTAATATATAGATATTTACATTTGTAATACATGTCTTTGGTAGATATTTACTTCTTATAGCATCAAAAGTAGTAGCACAAGTAGAGAATTACATTCGTCCTCCTTACCTCGATCACATAAAGGACAGTTTCTCGTGCATATATCGATTTTTTGCCACCTACCTTCATTATTTCTCAGCCGTAAAAGTCCCCCTCTAAACTTCACTAAAACATTCCGAAGCTTTAATTCGCTAATTGATTTAGGATACTTTCCTGGTTCTAACAAACTTTTATCGTCTCTTCAAAGGTTATATCTTGAACTGTTATTAACAGTAGATATCCAAGTTTGATGAAACATATTAATAGCACAATCCTTAAACAAACTTATTCAACATTTGTTTTAGCTCCAACTGTAGGTGACAGCCAAAGAAAAGCAAAACCATGAGAAAATAGTAGAGATCTAATATTTGAAGCACCATTTTTATACCCTATATTATCCAAATAAAGTAATATATTGTACCCTTTTTTAGGAAGGCGGTGCTCATGCATTAACAATAATTTACACAAGTATCCAACACTAAGAGAAGTGAGTTGATATACATTGGCGATCGACCACATTCACCATAAACTTTAATGCAAAGGAGTAGTCAAACATCAGTGATGTCATTGATACTCTGCAGATATACATAGCAAGTTACGGACGATTGATTGTAATGAGTTAGCGTGTTGGGGTATTTGCAGCTTAAACATCTTTTAGTTATAGATCAAATTATACCAAGAACTGCGTGGAAAGAACCAACCAGACACATTTGCAAGTGTCTCCGCAGATTAATTGGACATTTATAAATATTTGGGCAATTGTTGTCCTTCGCCTGGCTGAGAGTGTTTCATCGTATTTGATGTTAATCATCAATCGTTTTATGACAATCACTTGTTGCACCTGTCCAGATTCATCTAGTAATACTCCTGATACGTTAAACTGCAAGTAGACTTTCAAATGCTAATATTACATATAATTATAATGGTTTAAGACTTCGTGAAGACTTCGGACGAATAGGTAAGATTTACATACTGCAGACATCTGTAACAAGACCATTCACAAAAAAGTTCAAAAGTCAATCAGGTCTTTGGTACCAAGGGCGAATAACTTCCTGTGAACATCGTCACTACAACAGAAATTTCCCCTTAGATGTATTTTCTTCCACACTACGAGGATTCCTTTGTTGCAGATGTCATCGTGTATTTCGATGTACACGTGTATCTGAAAACCAAGACAGATCATATAAGTATACGTAAATTGAAATTAAAAGAGATATATGGAAGGGTTTTAAATAGTGAGTGTGTATGGTTTAAGGTCGCTCTCAGCAACATTGGGGCAGGGGTCTCGGGTTTCACACGAGCGAACACTTCAGCAACTAGACTCCCAATCTCCCACATTGAGGACGTAAATTTCTTGTCATCTTGTCATTAAATGAATGAGAATATCATTTCAAGAATCTGTCTAGATACATTTACAAGATTTACTGATATTCAACAGTAGTATGTACAAAATTAGGATTATGCTAACATTGGTTACATGCACAATGTTGTTTATAAAAGATACAATACAATTCACTCCTTGGGGTGATACATGTACGGGATAGAATAGGTCTTCAGCGACCCATGCTTGCCGTAAAAGGTGACTATGCTTGTCGTAAAAGGCGACTAACGTTATCGGGTGGTCAGGCTCACTGACTTGGTTGATGCATGTCATCGATCCCAATTGCGTGGATCGATGCTCGTGATTTTAATCACTGGATTGGCTGGTCCAGACTCGATTATTTACAGACCGCCGTCATATAGCTGGAATATTGCTGAGTGCGGCGTTAAACAACAAACAAGCAAACAAGCAAGCAAAACGTCAGCTCCTCATCATAATCGGTTTCGAATAACTGCCTCTCCAGGCTAAAAGGCTAAAACAGTGATGGAAAGCCAATGATGGAACCGGGTGATCATGACATGAGCACAATAAGCAGCCTTACTCAAGAAAAGGATAACAATTGTTGACAATTTCAAAACCTAAAGCTTATGTTACACTTATTTCACACACTTAAAACAATGCATTCAGCAAAGAAGAAAACTTTCAACAACGATAGGATAATATCTTATTGACATTACGCAACATAGAATAATAACGTTTATGCCTTGAACATATTCACATCAAAAACACCTCTAATAAAAGACAGACCAAACTATAAGGAACAGGGACAAATCCGCATACCGGGTGCTTAGATATATCGTTTAAAGTTCACGAATTAGGGCGAAGGAAATTGGGATAAGTCCAAAAACGTCAGGTGTTGCCGCCACCCATCATAGCTGCAACAACCCTGTCAAGTATGAAGAATATTCTGTGAAACGTCAACGCTGAAGAATAATCAGTCTCGATTATCTGCCGAAAGAGATTCCATTGGTCGTAATAAACAATATGGCGGTGAAAGTTATGTGAAGAATGCATATAATTAATATCAAAGACGGTTTTTATATGAACTGCTTTTGGACAGAGACCACGTTTTTTAGACGAGGAAGTGTCTGGCGATAGGCTAGAGATAAGGCATAATGGTGCCAACTTATGAATGATATGTCAACGACATTCAGGTCTACGTTTGTCCATTTATTCAGATGAAGTGGGAACACAAGGGAAGAGGTCATGGGGAAATGACAAGAACATCTGTTCAAGATAATGTCTTATTTCGATTTCACTTATTAATTTCAGATCAAAGTCGACGGTACCTTTGTTGTAACCCACTTAAAGTATTTTCAACTACTCACTATTGCTTCAATGTCGAATGAAAACGGACATGGGTCTATTACTAACCTTTGAGTGTGTCAAGCCTGAAACATATTGATTTGATTGGTCTACTGCCAATGCTGCTGATATATATATATCTTTTATGGTAAAAATGTAAAATGTAAAATTTGTCTATCGTTTTGTATTCCCATTGTCGTCATAAGGTTGAGGCATTTTGTTGATTTGCATTATTTAACTTAATCAACACTACAATTACAATAATTTGTAATAGGACGTATGTTTACATCTGTAGTTTATGAAAGACTAGGCACTGTTTTTAAAAATGCATGAATATTAACCTTCTCATCCGTATTAGTCTGATACGATACATCTCCGCAAACAGATCCAACAAACCCTCAATACATAACTCTCCAAATGAATAATGCGTAGAATCTTGAGAGCCAATAAGATGTCAGCTTTTTACAAAGATTTAGTTTATGTGCCACCTATATTGAGGGAAACGAAATAGACCACACAGAACACAAAAATTACCCCGATAGAGCACCTTTTGGATGCAATGGCGCTTAAAAACAAAAGGGTGTATTCAACACACGTAACACATTTACCACGGGAGAATTTGTTGGTTGTATAAACTTAGTGTAATTTCCGGTTTCACCAAACCACAACCAAAGTTTATTTAAAACCAGTTCGAACAGCTGCCCTTATGTTATTAAGAGGTTTGTTTGCTGTAAGCTGAAACTGGTTTGGCCAAACCATCAAGCAACTTCCAAGAGTGGTTAGATGGTTTCGTTAACGTGCGCAAGAAAAGAATACCATGGCGTCGGCGTGGCTGTTACCTTCACTCCACACTGATGAATATACCCCTGTCATCATGTATCCCTATTTATGCGAAAATGCTGAGGAAATCGTTAGTAAAGAATATGGGAATGACATGTCCATGGTAGTCTTTTAATAGCTTTTAATAAGGTGAGCTTATGCCATACCGTGGCGTCCGTCGTCTGTACGTCAACATTTTTTTTCAAACGACTACCTCTTCTGAACGACTAATTGGAAATTTAACTGGAAGCATTCCCAGGTGGTGGGTATTCAAAACTGTACAAATGGTTGGGCTGACCCCACCCCTACCCCCCAAGGGACTGAGGAGCGGGGCAAAAAGGCCCAAAATAGGGGTAATCTGGCTATATTGCACCAAGCGACTTCTTCTCTGGAACTAAGAGGTAGATATCAACCATATTTGGTTGGAAGCATTCTCAAAAATTGTACAAACGGTGGGGCTTACCCCACCCCCCACCCCACCCCAAAGGAGCTGAGGGGCAGGGCCAAAAAGAGTTTATCATTTTTTTGACGCTGTTAATATCCCCACAGTAAAATCATATTTACAATTACAGAGTATTATGAGAGGAATACGCATACGGTACCAGGACTGGTTCTTCTGTTCATCTGTCCGGCGCTCCCCACCCTTTAATAAACAGATACATTGTATACACTTGTTTGTTATGAAGGGAATAATACATTTATGCCAATAGGATTTGCCCTTGGATTCAGCCTTGACTCTGGAAACTTAAATCCTGGATCATAACATGGAAACGGTTCAGATTTTTATGCTACATTTGTATTTAGAGAAGTACACGTTCATGTGTCATATTTGCCATCCACCCCTTTTAAATACTGACAGAGTCAAAATTACGAAATATATGCAGTATTATAAACATGTACAATGCAAATGTATATATTGGCATGATTGCGTAAATATCCAGGTTAGCGATACAGGCTCTATGGGCCTCTTGTTTAAACTTGCTGACATACATTGCTGGGGTTACAGGGAAAAGATCTTTCATTCGTAATTTGACCACCACTGGCTACTCCTTCGTCAAAGATGTGTCATCATCTTGCTTTCACGGATCTGACAATTACAATTAGTTTGTTGTGTATCACCACGGTAAGCAATATTACAGCAATATGGCGACTGCCTGTAAATAACCGAGTCAGGACCACACGATATCTAGTGACTGATATTATGTGTTGGTTGGTTAAAGCGGAGGTAGATGTCTTTTCCGAAGCAGAACTGAGAGAGCATTTCATCCAAACTTGGTACATGTATTAATCAAGGGCTGAAGAGGTGTCTTTCGCTATTTAGAATTTTTTTCTAAAAAATATTATTTTCTTGTTTCCATGGCAACAA